CATCAGCCCTGGGACTTCAACACCACGAATCCACATACTTGTTGCGCCCTGACAATCCTGAGTCGTTTCAAAACACCGCTTCTGGTACGTTACTCATGAGGGCCAGTGAAACTCGTGCAGCATTTTATAACGAACGTGCGCGGCGCTAAGGCGAGAGTCAGATTTGAAAACAACTCGCCCTCAATCCGTTAAACCCTTGCAACCTTTAAACGAAAAAGCGCGGCGCTATGGCGAGAACCACATGTTGAAAACCACCCCCATTTGAGAAATTGTTGTCGGTTCTAAAACGCTCGCATGTCCGAGGCATGGCGGATGACGGGAAGTGCGCTTCGAAGGCCCCGGCTCGAGCGATTATTGGCGTTTCTCGTGTGTCGGCGGGGTCGCAAGCCTCCGCACAGCATGCATGCAGTTGATGGCGGGACACGTTTTGTTGTTCCTTCTTCCATGCGCCATCCTTCGCCGAAATTACCCACGCTGGAGGGCCGAGCGTTCGGTGAAGGCACGATCGCCGTGGAGCTCCATGCCTTCGACCGACGCCGAGGATGGAAGCGAGCCAGTGCACAGCACAAGGAACTATCACCGCGCCTGCCGGGCCAGACTCGCCAGAGGGCGGGTGTGGTCTGAGGTCGACCTTCATGAAGGCCAGGACGTAGCGGCACACTCCAGCTATGTGGTTACCTCAGACGGCGACACAGCTTACTCGCTTGAAGCTCGGGTCAGGGATCGCCCCGGCTACATCATCACGCCTTCCCCGCGGATGGAGTCCACGCGGATTGCTTCATGGGGCGGTATACAATTACACAACGATGGCAGCTGGGACAACTGGTGGGCACACGTATGCAGTATTCCTCCGTGGCTTGTGTGGAGGAGGAAACCCGCCTGCCCGCTGTCGCCGCCGAGGAGGAGGACATGGCCGAGAGCATCTTGCTGCGGCGTCCGCTGCCAGCGAGAAGGCCCTTCAGAAGAACCCGTTCCAGGCGTCGCGCTGCTGGGTCGGAGGGACTGACCGCCTCTGTGTGCTGATCGAATGCATCCCACGACCCGTAAGGCGTCGAAGTGGCAGGAGTTTGCGGGACTTGCGATCGATGACGACCATGCTCCTCGCTCCACGCCGTGAGCTCAAGGAAATGAAGTAGTAGACTCGGATGGTGGGTATACTTCAAGTGAGTCCACCAGGTTGCGCGCGCCAGTGCTTATTTCATCAGTAAAGCCTGCCGCAGGAGCCTGGTCAGTTTTTGTTTTTTTTCTCCAGCGCTTGTGCCTCTTCGTCCGCCCCCGTTCCTTCTTGGCCCGCTGCGTTGGTGACTTGGAGTTTGGCTCGGCCCGCAGCCCTGCTCCCTGGCGTGGCCTGGGGCGTTGCCGACTTTGCGTTGCAATTAAGGGCGGCTCCCGCTACGCTGTACTATGCTTCTCCTGCGCATGATGCGTTGCGCCGTTTGCAAATCAGTGGTGGTCGCAAGCCCGTGGCCAGAGGGTCGCGTGCTGAGGTGCGGGCTTTCCCGCCAGGTGGTGGTGAGCTCGTAAGTAGCGTCCGTGGACGCGCGCGCGCGGGCCGACCTTGCAGCTGGCCATTTGGGTGCTCGCGAGACCTCTATGTTGGGGTTGCGTTTTCCAAAAAGTGCGCTTCGACTCGAAGAGTCGCGCGACGGACGTGCGTCGCATAGAGGAATCTATTTATCTATTGGGGGTGTCCGGGGGCAGAATGGTTCGGGGTTGCTCGTCGGTCGGGGGCTCGTCGGATGACGGGGCGCGCGTTGAAACTCGAACAGTCGCGCGATGGACGTTGCATCCGGGCCCAGAAGGGAAATCTTCATCAAGTGGAGGGGTCCACGGGGGGAGTGGTGGCGGGTGCATCCTCGGCCGGGGACCTGGCGGATGACGGGGGGGCGCTCGGACTCGCGCGATGGACGTTGATATCGACCCGCCTGGGTAAAGTAAGATAACGTATTATTTTCAACCAGGGGGGCCCAGGGGGGGAAGGGCTCGGGTTTCACTCGTTGCTCCAGACCTGGGTTGTGACGGGAAGTGCGCTCAGATTCGAAGGGTCGCGCGATAGACGTTCTTTACTGGGCTTGAAAGGGTTTTTTTATCAAGCGAAGGGGTCCAGGGAAGGATTGGTGGCGGGATCGGGCTTGGGCCATGAGGTGGTGGATGACGGTGAGCTCGGTTAGATTCGAAGAGTCGCGCGATGGACGTCGTCTACAGGTCTAGAGGGAAAATGTGTATCAAGTGGAGAGGGGTCCAGGGGAGGAGTGGTGGCTGGATCGCGTCGCCACCGCGACGTGGCCGATGACGGTAAGCGCGCTTAGACTCGAAGGGTCGCGCGATGGACGTTGTGGAATGGCGCTCTGGTGTCATCTTGGGGCTCTATCTGGGATCGTTTCGGGCAATTCGGCCTTTTGTCTTGCCTCTGGTATTCGTGAAGTTAGCGTAGTGGTCTTCCTCCGACGGCGATGACGGTGACGATGACGATGATGATGATGCTGATGGTGATGCAGCTGGTGATGACGATGCAAATTATCATGATAGGTGATGATGCTGCGGATGTTGATGCTGACGATGATGCAGTGATGATGATGCTTATGTCACTGATGATGATGCTGATGTTGCTGTTGTTGAAGGCGATGATCATGATGAGGCTGATGTAAGGGATCATAAGTGATGCTGCTGTTGTTGCGGATGAGGATGATGATGCTGATTTGATGCTGTGCTGATCGTAGTGGTTGTGATGATGATGGTGGCCATGCTGGTCTGTTCACGATGTTCATGTGTTTTGTTTCCAGCATGCGTTCGGCATCTAGCGGCTATCACATGCCGCAGTCGGTCTCGGACGAAACAAGGAAATATATCGTAAGCGTCTGTACGAAACGTTACCTCCCGGGAAATGTGATATGTGAGTCACAACGTCCGCACACGATGGAATGAGGACAAGATGCAGAGGCATATGACATAGAGCTGGAACGTGTTTGAGGCCAGGGCGCGATATGATGAGTCGACCTGTCTAACATCTTGGGGCTCTCTTGGGCTACCTTAGGGCCCACCTGGGCCATCTTAGGGTGCTCTCGGGCCGTCTAGCGTCTTCGAGGACCGTCTTGGGGGCCTACCTGGACTGTCTCAGGGACCTATTTGGGCTCAGTCTCTGGCTCAAAAGAGGGAGCAGGAGGAGGCAATTGTGGATCCTGTTGGAGGGTCCAACTCGGCCATATTTAAGCATGTTTTTCCCGAAGCAACCTGGAATTGGTTGGCCCCCTATGAGCCTCCTGAAGGCTCTGCTGGACAGCACCTGGGACGTCTTGGGGGCCTCTGGGGCCATCTACGGACACCGTCGGGTCTTCTTGGGCTTCTTGAAGGAGTCTTGGGACCGTTTTGAAGGCTATCTCGAACCATCGTTGACGGATAAGCTCGCGGAATATGCAATTGGCGGGTTGGGCCGACGGCAATTGGGAACCTTTTGGAGGGTCAACAAACAAGTAGAAAGCTTGGCACGCCAAGCAGCACCCCTCCAGCAGGCTACGGGGGTGGCGGATTCAGTGGCCTTCTTCCCATCCCGCCACTGTGCTTGGGTCGTGGGCAAGTGGCCTCTGAAGATCCTCTTGGGGTCTCTTGGGGCCTCTTGGGAGGCCTGTTGAGGCCTCTTGGTAGCCGTTTGGTGGCCTATCGGCGCCTCTTAGAGGTCTCCTGTAGCATTTTGGGCGTTTCTCGGGGGCCTCTTGGGGGCCTCTTGGGGGTCTCTCTTGGGCCCGCTGCCGGTATCGGAGGTCATCTTGGGGCACATCTTGGGGGAAAGTGGTCCAAGTGCCAGGTCGTGTTCCCCCCTCGCGAGCTTCCCCTGGGGCCGCCTGGAAGGCACCTGGGGCCCCTGAGGCTTGGAGGTCGTCTTGGGGCCCTCCTGGGCCGTCTTGGGCGTTCTCTGAGTCGGCACGCACAGACAGCTCCTTGTGTTTCAGTGATCTCGGCCTCTTGGGCTGCCCCCCGGTGCCTCCAGAACGGCCCCCCAGAAGCCTCCAAGAGCCTCAGTGCGGATCTCTTGGCACACATCACGGCACGTGGTACCGTGGAGTCCGGCCGCGCCTCAGCCATAGCGGGACACCGGCGGGACACCGCGCGGCACCGGTTGCCGGAAAGGAATCATTTGGTCCGGCCGCGCCTCAGCCACTGGAGAGTTTCCTCTCGCCCGCCTACGCAGCTTCGCCTCGCCCGCACGCACGGCACGCACGAACACGAAACCGAAACCGATTTCCCGGTAGGGGGGCTCTCCGTTCCACTTCGATTTTACCCCCTCACCTCCGATGTATATGTATATGTATGTGTATGTGTATGTGTATGTATATGTGTATATGTGTATATGTGTATATGTGTATATGTGTATATGTGTATATGTGTATATGTGTATATGTGTATATGTGTATATGTGTATATGTGTATATGTGTATATGTGTATATATGTATATGTGTATGTATGTATGTATGTATGTATGTGTATGTATATATGTATGTATGTATGTATGTATGTGTATGTGTATGTGTATGTGTATGTGTATGTGTATGTGTATGTGTATGTGTTTGTGTATGTGTATGTGTATGTGCATGTGTATGTGTATGTGTATGTGTATGTGTATGTATGCATGTATGTATGCATGCATGTATGTATGTATGTATGTATGCATGTATGTATGTATGTATGTATGTATGTATGTGTATATGTACATGTATATGTACATGTAGATGTATATGTAGATGTAGATGTAGATGTATCTACATATGTATAGTTATGTATGCCTGTCTGTCTGTCTGTCTGTATGTATGCATGCATGCATGCATGCATGTATGTATGTATGTATGTCTGTATGTATGCATGTATGTATGTATTTATACATATATATATATATATATATATATATATGTTAGAACACACATATATATATATATGATCTTTTGCATCCTTGGTTCGAAACGACCCGAGGGCACCCCACTCGGGGCCTCCCACTTCGCACAGACATGTTTGCCAAAGAGGGAGGAAGGTGACAGAGCAGCGGGAGGACGAGGCGGAGCAGTCTCCGTAGCCGTTGTAGCCCAGAGCTGCCCCCAGAACGCCGCCACCCGCCGCGATGACCGATGTCGCCTGGCCCTCCCGCCCCTTGCGGCGTCGGCGGATGAGGCTGGCCCTGGGCTTGGCGTCTCCAGCGCTCTGGGGCACCGCCTGCTGGGCGTGGGCAGACCGCTGCTGCGCTGCCCCCGCGTGCCCCGCCTCCGCCGCCCCGCCCGCGGGGCGCGGCGCGCTGCTGCGGGGGACCATCGCCCCCGCGGCTTGCGCTGCGGCGGCCGATGCGGCCCTCGCCCAGGGCGGGGAGGAGTGCAGGCGGCGGGCAGTCTGCAAGAGCGAGGCGGAGTGGGCGAGGACCTTGTCGCCCCAGCAGTTCTTCGTTCTGCGGAGCGCCGGCACCGAGGCCCCGAGGAGCTCGCCGCTGCTGAGGGAGAGGCGGCAGGGGCGGTACCGGTGCGCCGGCTGCGCCGCTTTTCTCTTCGAGTCGTCGAGCAAGGTCGCCTCGCAGAGCCCGTGGCTATCCTTTGGCAGCGCGCTGCCCACGGTCGAGGTGGAGGGCTCCTGGTTCGAGGCTGTCACCGGCGCTAAGCTCAGGTGCGCGAGGTGCGGGGGGCACCTGGGGGAACGCTTCCTGGACGGCGCCTCCTTCGCAGGCACCCCAGCTGCTCGCACAGGACGCCGCTACTGTGTCAACGGCGCCGCCCTGGTGTTCGTCCCCGCTGATGGCCTCGAACCCGTCGCAGGCCAGAATCCAGCCGCGGACTCCGTCGAGTACTGGGAGAAGTACCCGTGGAGAATGATCGACGGCGGACTGCGGCCGATCTAGCTGGTGTTCGGTATGGTGGAGCCCCCTTGCCTTCAGTGCGTGCGCCAGCAATTTTCACAAGATTGCGCGAACTGTGCGCGAACTGGGCGCTCCTCGCTGTCCGCCTGCTGTTGCCGATCTGGGGCCCATGCCGCGTCGTGTGGAGCCGCCGCTGCGGGCAAGGCGCCGCGCGTGCCTGGGCGAGGCCCCGCCGCGTCACCAGCCGGCGGGGCTCATCGCGAGCGTGCGCGTGGGGCCTGAGGAAAGAAGAGGAGCAGGCGCATTGAGCAGCAGGGTGTGAGGACTAATATTGGCACGATGGAGGGTGGAGGAGGAGGAGGAAGAGGAGGAGGAGGATGATAGGAGGAGGAGGAGGAGCAGAAGGAAGAGGAGGAAGGGGAGGAGGAGGAGGCGGAGGAGGAGCAGGATCACGATGATGGGGATCAGGATGTTGATGATGATAATGATGATGATGATGATGATGATGATGATGATGATGATGATGATGATGATGATGATGATAAAGCTGCTGCTGCTGATGGTGGTGGTGGGGATGATGGTGGCTGTGGTGTTGATGATGATGATAATGATGATGTTGTTGATGATGCTGATGATGAGGATAATGATACTGATAATGATGATGCTGATGATGATGATGATGATGATGATGAAGATGCTGATGCTGATGATGATGACGATGATGATGATGCTGATACTGCTGATGATGCTGCTGATGATGATGCTGATGCCGAGTGCTGATGATGATGATGATGCTGATGATGATGATGATGATGATGATGATGAGGTTGTTGCTGTTGGCGATGATGATGATGATGATGATGATGATGATGATGATGATGATGCTGATGATGATGATGCGGATGCTGAGGCTGATGCTGCTAATGATGATGCTGATGATGATGCTGATGCTGATGCTGATGACGATGATGATGCTGATGCTGATGCTGCTGCTGATGATGATGATGATGATGATGATGATGATGATGATGATGATGATGATGATGGTGGAGCTGATGACCATGATGGTGTTGATGACGATGTCGGTCCTGATGCTGATGCTGATGCTGATGATGAGGATGTTAATGATGATAACAATGATGATGTTAATGATGCTTATGCTGATGCTGACGATGATGCTGACGATGATGCTGATCATGCTGACGATGATAAGGATGATGATGGAGAGCTTTGCTGATGCTGTGGCTGCTAATAATGATGATGCTGGTGGTGGTGATGATGATGATGATGCTGATGCTGATGATGCTGATGCTGATGATGATGCTGATGCTGATGATGCTGGTGATGACGATGCTGATGCTGATGCTGATGATGTTGATGATGATGATGATGATGCTGCTACTGATGATGATGCTGATGACGATGATGATGATGATGCTGATGAGGATGATGCTGCTGATACTGTTGGTGATGGTGGTGGTGATGACGAGGATGATGATGCTGAAGATGATGATTTTGATGCTGATGATGATGCTGATGCTGATGATACTGATGGTGATGATGATGATGATGATGATGATGATGATGATGATGATGATGATGATGATGATGATGATGATGATGGCGATGCTGATGCTGCTGATATTGAAGATGATGCTGCTGCTGATGATGATGACACTGATGGTGGTGGTGATGATGATGCTGATGATGGTGGTGCTGATGATGATGAGGAGGATGATGGTGATGACGATGATGCTGATGATACGGGTGTTGATGATGATGATGATGCTGATGATGATGATGATGATGTTGATGCTGCTGATGATGCTGCTGATGATGATGCTGATGATGATGATGATAACGGTGGTGGTGATGGTGGTGGTGATGACGATGATGATTATCATGCTGAGGCATACGATGTTGGTGCTGAAGATTGCGATGGTGATGACAACACCGACGATGGTATTGATGATTATGACATTGTTGATTCTGATGGGGAGGAGTTGGAAGACGAAGGGGTGGAGGCGGAGGCGGAGGAGGAGGAGGAGGAGGAGGAGGAGGAGCCGAAGTTGCGCGGTTAGGGGCGGATGGGGTTTTGGGAGGCCGTGAAGCACGCGTGGGACGGCTACACGCGCGTCGCGTGGGGCTTCGACGAGCTAAGGCTGGCGGCTGACGACCTCCCAATCCCTCCTCTTCCTCCTACTCCTCCTCCTCCTTCCACCCTTCTCCTCCGCCTCCTCCTTTCTTCCCTCTCCTCCGTCAGCTCCTCATCCTCGATTCTCCTCCTCCTCCTCCTTCTAGGTTGCCGCGGGGCGGTTCGAAGTCATTTCCAAACTGCTAGGGGGGGCACACATTTTCGCCCACCGCAACCTTCGGCCTCGACTCTCACCCTCCGCCAAGGGGGTGGGGGAGGACACAGGCACTGTCGACGCGAATTCATGACATCAGTTATTTCCTGACGAAGCTAGTCGTATACTACTCTTTGGCGGCTTCGGCAAATTTGAAGGGCTAGAGGACATCAGCCAGGAGCTCACGAAGTGGGATGTGATACTCTCGGGTGGACCGCAGAAATGGGTAGGAACAAAAGGATGTGTGACGACCCAAGTGCAGGGAGAGGACGAGGAAGGAGGAGAGGAGGAGGAGAGCCTCTGGAGCCCTCAAGGGGCCTCCAGGGCCCCCAGGGGCCCTCGAGGGGCCCTCTGGAGAAAGCCTCAGGAGCCTCGAAGCGTACAGGGGCCCTGCAGGGATCCCCCTCGTCGCCACGGCTGGACGCGGCTCGAACATCCGCCGACCTCTAGCCCCCGAGGTGTCACCCAAGGGGGGTTTCGTTTTAGGTATCCCCCTGCAAGGCCCCGCGGCCTCTCGAGCCCCTTCAGTGGTTCTGCAACGCCTGGCCCTCAACTTGTGCATTGGGTCCCTTGGTTGCTTCACTTAGTTAGAGAGGCAATTCATCGGACCACTGGTGCTGCTCTGCTCTGCTCTGCCTGCTTCTCCGCGTGCTCGTCGTCGTCGTCGCCCTCCCCCCCCGTCTCCCTCCCGCTCCTCCTCCTCCTCGACCTCCTTCTCCTCCCTCTCCCTCCTCCTCCTCCTCCTCGACCTCCTCCTCGACCTCCTTCTCCTCCCTCCCCCTCCTCCTCCTCCTCCTCCTCCTCCTCCTCGACCTCCTCCCTCCCCTCTGCCCTCCCTCGACCTCCTCCTCCTTCGCCTGCCGGGCCGGGCCTTCCGCCCTCCAGGCGTGGCGGGTGGAGACCGAGGTCTTCTCCCATCCCGTCCCTGGCTCTTTTCCATCTCTAGAATGGGCTCAGAGCCTCGTCGCCTCATCGGGCGGGCATGGTCCGGGCTCGGGGCCCCGCAGGTGCAACAACACAGTGTATATATATATATATATATGTATATAGATATATAATATGGATGAATACCAGGTCCCCGGCCCCGGGGCTCCGGCCCACCCCTGGGACATCCGGGTCACGCCCGTGTTACCCCCCCCCCCGGGGGCTCCAAGACGGCCCAAGAGGCCCTCGAGACGGCCCAAGAATGTTCCAAGACGGTCCAAGAGGGCCCAGAGTCGCCGAAAGATCGGTCCAAGACGCCCATGATGGCTTCCAGGCGACCCAAGACGCCCCCAAGAATCCCCAGAGGCCTCCAAGAGGCCTCCCAAGACGGCCCCGAGAGGCAGAAATCGTTGGTTTCTCGCTCTGAGGCTCCAAGACCGCCCGAGAGGCTCCCAAGACTGCTCCAAGACGGCCCAAGATGCCCCCAAGAGAGCCCCAAGACGGCCCAAGAGAGCCCCAAGACCGCCCCGGATCCGCCCAAGACGGCCCAAGAGTGCCCCAAGAAGGCCTCAGAGGGGCCCAAGAGAGGGAACACGAACCGAAAAATCGAGCTCTCCGCCCGAAGATGCCCCCATGAGACCCCAAGAAGCCCCCAAGACACGATCTGACCGCTCGCGGGGACCCCATTTAGGTCCAGGGGAGATGGTTAGGGGCAGAGGTGCCCTCCCCGAAGGGGTAGAGGGAAGGGTGGAGGGAGGAAACGCGCTTAACCACCTACGCACAGAGAGCTGGTGGGATTCTCTTTGCAACTCCTCTCATCCCCTGTTCTGTCAAACGAATGCTCTGCCTGTGCCGCCCTAGAACCTAAGCGCGCGCGAAGCGCGCGCGTGGTTCTAGTATATATATATATATAGCAGTTGTACGCGAGCTCGGGCAGCGGACGATACTTATCTACTGAAGCTGCAAGTTCGCCAGATGAATCGACTCGCTTTGCGGGCCAGAAGAAATGCGTCACGCGAAGACGGCACGCTCACGCCGAGCATGCGCTGCGGCTCCACGTATGCTGGCTCGCCCATGGGGGCCCACAGGCCCGGGGTGCACGCGACGAGGGACTTGGTGCTGCTGATGTTGCCGTCGACGACGGTGTAGCTGAGGACGCCGATTCCGCCGCCGCTGGCATCCGATGTCAGCATTCAGTCATCGTCCCTCCCGGGCCAGAGGTGTTCGCTATGTCAAAATGCGGACTGCGTGGATGCTGCGCTGCTCCTGTCCCGAGTTCCCTCAAAAACCTTCATCTTCGTGTCCTATTCCTGCTGCTCCTCTTTCCTCCTCCTGCCCCACCTCGTTCTGTCCCACTGCCAGCTGTACTTCACGAGAGCCAGACTCGAGAGGCACAGGATATCCGTCAGCGTGCCTTCAGCACGTCGTGGAGTGCTCCAAGGCTCATGCGGACCTCATCCTCCCCCGCGCCCTCCTCATCCTCCCCCGTGTCCTCCTCATAGTCGCCCTCGTCGCTCTTCGCCCTTCTCCTCATCGTCGCCCTCATCCTCCCCCGCGTCCTCCTCCTCCTTCTCACTCCCGTGTCCTCCTCCTCATCCCCCGTGTCCTTCTCATCGTCGCCCTCATCGCTCTGCGCTCATCGCCTCGTCGTCGGCCTCATTCGGCGGCGAGCGAGGGGGGGAAGTGAGAAGGAGAAGGCCTTCTCAGAAGGCGGCGGGACTTTTCAGAAGCCCTCGCGCCTTCTGAGAGGTTTTCAGTGGCTTCGGAGAAGGCTCACAACACTTCTCGGTAGGCTTGGGGGGCTTCCGAGCCTTCCGAGAAGGCCTCCTCCTTCGCATTCCCCCCCCCCGCTCGCCGCCGGTCATCGCTCTTCGCTCCTCTCCTCGTCGTCGCCCTCGTCCTCCCCCGCGCCCTCCTCGTCCTCTCCCGTGTCCTCCTCGTCCTACCCCTCGTCACTCTTCGCTCTTCGCCTCGTCGTCGCCCTCGTCCGCGTCCTCCTCCTCCTTCTCCTCCTCCTCCTCCTCCTCCTCCTCATCCCCCGTGTCCTCCTCA